ACTCCCCCAGTTCCCACCCGCCCCCAAACCCCCAACCCGGACGCCCCACTAGGGTTTAGGGTTTAGGGTTTAGGGTTTAGGGTTTAGGGTTTATCGCGAAGTGCCCGCGGACGCTCCCCCGCGCAGCCGCCGACCCCCTCCTCCCTCCCCCGCCTCCTTGCCCCGCAGGGCCTACTCCTCCCCCTCATCCGCGGGCCGCGGGCTAGGGTTTAGGGTTTAGGGTTTAGGGTTTAGGGTTTAGGGTTTGCGGACTCCGGCGAGGACGAAGCGCCACTTTTTCTCCACCTTCAAGTACGAACTGCCCAAAAAGACCCACAGGGGCATTCCGCCCACCGCGCTGGCCGTGAAGAGCAGCGGCGCCCAGTCGAAGGCCGCGCGGGACTGGACTACATGTTTGCAGAAGTAAGGCAGCAGCATGGGGGTGACGGCCCCCGCCATTATCATGCAGGAGTAGGCCACCATCAGCAAGAAAAAGGGACTGCGCGCAAACCCTAAACCCTAAACCCTAAACCCTAAACCCTGCCGGGGAAGCGGCGGCCCAAACCCGCGAAACGCGAGCCGATTCCGAGCTCTGGAACCCAAATGACGAAGATTCCCCGCAAACCCTAAACCCTAAACCCTAAACCCTAAACCCTTCTCGCTCCCACGCTCGCGACCCCGCGAAACGCGAGCAAATTCCGCCACGTAGAGCCCAAATGCGAGCCTGCAACCCCAAACCCTAAACCCTAAACCCTAAACCCTAAACCCTAAACCCTGCTCACACGTTGAGGAACATCTGCTGCGCGGAGTAAACGCCGGCCTGGAGCCACTGAGATAGCGTGAGGGTTTGGGGGGGGTATTGGGGCTCTAGGGTTTCTTCTTTGACCACAAAAAGCATCAAAAGAGTTCCAAATAAAAACAAAAGTGCATAAATAAACCCCAGCAGCAAAAAGCGAAAACGAGTGGCTTCCACGGAAGGCCCCAAACTCGACCCCAGCACTCCGTGCAGCAAACCGCAGGAAGTCGAACCCACTGTTATCACTGACACCGCTATTGCCTGCAAGCAGCAGCAGCAGCAGCAGCAGCAGCAGCAGCAGCAGCACATGCAGCGTGCTGCTGCTGCGGGAGGGCGAGCAGCAGCAGTGGCAGGCGCTGCTGCTGCTGCAGCAGCAGCAGCAGCAGCAGCACTTTCAAAGACACCAACACGTGCAGCACTATCGATCTAACACCAGCAGCAGCAGCAGCAGCAGCAGCAGCAGCAGCAGCAGCAGCATTTTCAAAGACACCAACACGTGCAGCACTTGTGACACACCAGCACCAGCAGCAGCAGCAGCAGCAGCAGCAGCAGCAGGTGCTCCACGACTACAAGCAGCACAGCTACACCGCCAGAACCAGCAGCACCGCCGCCGCCGCAGCAGCAGCAGCAGCAGCAGCAGCAGCAGCAGCAGCAGCAGCAGCAGCAAACCTGGAGTTTGGTTCTTTCATCGTAATCAAAAGTCATTTGCGCCCCCAAAGCCTGATAAGTCACTTCGTTGCAGCCCCAAGAAGTGCCCAGCAAAGCAGCAAAGACAAACGCCCAAGTCACCAGCCCGCCCTCCACTGCGAGGCCCTTGGGGGGCCCCATCAGGCCCACGAAGGTCACTGCAGGCAGCAATTAATAATTAATTAATTAATTAATTAATTAATTAATTAATTAATTATTTATTTATTTATTTATTTATTTATTTAATTTGTTTTTGTTTGTTTGTTTGTTTGTTTGTTTGTTTTGTTTAATGCGCTGTTTGTTTGCTTCGGTGGTTTGGTCGGGGGGCTGCTTTGGGAGGGGGAGGCGGGTGGCTAGCTGGCTAGCTAGCTGGCTAGCTAGCTGGCTAGCTGGCTAGCTAGCTGGATGGATAGCTGGATGGATAGCTGGATGGATAGCTGGCTAGCTGGATGGATGGATAGCTGGATAGATAGCTAGCTGGCTACCTAGCTAGCTAGCTCGCCACCCACCC